AATCAGTGGGAAATCAGTGGAAATCCACGGGAAATTCCTGGGAAATTCCTGGGAAATCAGTGGAAATCCATGTGAAATCCATGGGAAATTCCTGGGAAATCAATGGAAATCCATGTGAAATCTATGGGAAATTCCTGGGAAATCGGTGGCAATCCATGTGAAATCCACATGGGATCCACATGCAGGGCGGGCCGAGGCTCCAGGCAGCCCCCCTGCCCCGGGGGGGTTGGGGAGCGGGGCCAGGGCAGGACAGACCCCCGTGAGCCGCCCGGGGGATCCCGGGCCCGGGCAGGGAGGTGGGAATGCTGCTGGAGCTGGGGCTGTGCTCTGCTCTCCCCCGGGCAGACATCGTGGGCACGCTGCGGCCCGACGAGAAGGCCATCATGACCTACGTGTCCTGCTTCTACCACGCCTTCTCCGGGGCCCAGAAGGTGAGCCCGGCCCCGGAGGGCTCCGCTGCCCCTCCCCGCCGCCTGGGGGCTGCCCTGGGGGCTGCCCTGGGGACTGCCTGGGATCGATCTGGGATCTGGGATCTGCCCGAGATCTGTCTGGGATCTGGGATCTGCCCTGAGATATGGAAACTGCCTGGGATCTGCCCTGAGATCTGGGATCTGCCCTGGGATATGGAATCTGCCTGGGATCTGCCCTGGGCTCTGGGATCTGTTTTGGGCTCTGCCCTGGGGTCTGCCTGGAATCTGTCTGGGATCTGCCCTGGGCTCTGGGATCTGCCCTGGGATCTGTCTGGGATCTGCCTGGGCTCTGCCCTGGGCTCTGGGCTCTGCCCTGGGATCTGGGATCTGCCCTGGGATCTGGGATTTGGGCTCTATCTGGGATCTGCTCTGGGCTCTGGGCTCTGCCCTGGGATCTGGGGTCTTTCTGGGATCTCTGTGGGCTCTGGGCTCTGCCTGGCTGCTGCTCTGCTTGGCCTGGGCACGGGGGAGGTGGGGCCTGGCTCTGCTGGGGCTTCCTCGGGGCCATGTGAAATCCACATGGGATCCACATGCAGGGCGGGCCGAGGCTCCAGGCAGCCCCTCTGCCCCGGGGGGGTTGGGGAGCGGGGCCAGGGCAGGACAGACCCCCGTGAGCCGCCCGGGGGATCCCGGGCCCGGGCAGGGAGTTGGGAATGCTGCTGGAGCTGGGGCTGTGCTCTGCTCTCCCCCGGGCAGACATCGTGGGCACGCTGCGGCCCGACGAGAAGGCCATCATGACCTACGTGTCCTGCTTCTACCACGCCTTCTCCGGGGCCCAGAAGGTGAGCCCGGCCCCGGAGGGCTCCGCTGCCCCTCCCCGCCGCCTGGGGGCTGCCCTGGGGGCTGGGGGCTGCCCTGGGATCTGCCTGGGATCGATCTGGGATCTGCCCTGGGATCTGCCCTGAGATCTGGAATCTGCCTGGGATCTGCCCTGAGATCTGGGATCTGCCCTGGGATCTGGGGTCTCTCTGGGATCTGCTCTGGGATCTGGGATCTGGGGTCTCTCTGGGATCTGCCCTGGGATCTGGGATCTCTCTGGGCTCTGGGGTCTCTCTGGGATCTCTGTGGGCTCTGGGCTCTGCCTGGCTGCTGCTCTGCTTGGCCTGGGCACGGGGGAGGTGGGGCCTGGCTCTGCTGGGGCTTCCTCGGGGCTCTTCCTGTGCTCCCTTCCTCATTCCCTGCCCTCATTCCCTTCCTTTTGCCCTTTATTCCCTTCCTTTTGTACTTTATTCCTTTCCTTTTCCCCTTTATTCCCTTCCTTTTGCACTTTATTCCTTTCCTTTTGCCCTTTATTCCCTTCCTTTTCCCATTTATTCCTTTCTTTTTTCCTTTCCTTTATCCTTTCCTTTTTTCCTTTTCTTTATCCCTTTCCTTTACCCTTTCCTTAATTCCTTTTCTCATTCCCTTACTTTTTTCCCTTCCTTTTCCCTTTTTTCATTCCTTTTCCCCTTTTTTCTCTTCCTTTCCTTTTCCCCATTCTTTTTCCTGCTTCCTCCATTCCCTTCCCTCATTCCTTTTTTTCCATACTCCCATTTTCCCATTCCCATTTTCCCATACTCCCATTTTCCCATTCCCATTTTCCCATATTCCCACTTTCCCATACTCCCATATCCCCAATCCCAAATTCCCATACACCCATTTTCCCAAATTCCCAATCCCAAATTCCCATATCCCCAATCCTGTTTTCCCATTTTCCCATATTCCCAATCCCATATCCCCATATTCCCAATCCCAAATTCCCACATTCCCCGTCCCATATTCCCATTTTCCCATATTCCCAATCCCAAATTCCCACATTCCCCATCCCATATTCCCATATCCCCAATCCCATTTTCCCATACTCCCAATCCCAAATTCCCATATTCCCAATCCCAAATTCCCACATTCCCAATCCCATATTGCCATTTTCCCATGTCCCCAATCCCAAATTCCCATTTTCCCAAATAAATTCCCGAATTGCGGTCCGGCAGGCGGAGACGGCGGCCAATCGGATCTGCAAAGTGCTGGCTGTGAACCAGGAGAACGAGCAGCTCATGGAGGACTACGAGCGCCTGGCCTCGGATGTAAGGGGGGGAAAATACCCCAAAACACCCCAAAAACACCCCAAAAACACATCCCAGAAACACCCCAAAAACACCCCAAAACACCCCAAAAACACCCCAAAAACACCCCCAAAAACACATCCCAAAAACACCCCAAA